AATGTACAGAGTTCTCTAGCACCGTATAAGGCAGGCATTAAGTATATACTTTAGAAAAACTTCTCCAAAACCAATTCTGATTTTACAGTGTTTGGCAATAGCTTTGATACTAATGGTAAGTCACCTGATTCTTGATATACATTTGAATATGTGTGTATACATACCCATGTTAATCTAAGTGCATAATGATGCAGCTAGTTATGGTAGCAAAAGCTTCTTTTCTTATCCTTACTAAGCACATGTTTTAACTCAAGTGTGATTTCCATAAAATTTTTAAAAGGTAAAGTATTGATTTATCAAAGGGCTTTAAGTAAAATGTAAATCCTATTTATTCAGAAAATAATAACCATTTAAGGTAGTATTACATTTTGGGTCTGGATAATAGTCATATCACAATTTTATTTCTATTAGGAATTCATGAAAGGAGTCCTGTTTTCCATAGAAAGCCACAAAATGTGTAAGAAATATTGAGAAGTGAGTCTTATTTTACCAGAAATGAAAATAGCAATTGAAATGCTAAGATGGAGACAATTTTAAAATTACTCACATTTTACCCAACTTTCCTACTACTATCCCATGCAAAATTATGTCTACTGAGCACATTTTTATTAGATAAGGTAGTCCATGGAGCAATGCTGAGCTAGAAACTAACAATACACAGTTATTCCAAGTTGTCATCATGTCTGGAAGTTATGGATAAATAGTTGGTGCAGGACACCTAACTTTCTGCCTTCTAAAGATTTTAACAGTAATATTTGGTTATGTAATCAAGCTCTGTTAATCAAAGTTAAATGCAAATTAGTTTTTTATAAAAATCCCATTGTGTTTTCTGTAAGAAACATAACTGTGAATTTTTTAGAAATAGCCCTTGAAATCCAACCTGAATTGTCTTACTTCTTTTTTCCTGCTTTCAAAATATGATCAAATTTAGAACCTCCTTTTGTTAGCAATTTCTAGAGAATAGTTTTATTCCTCAGAACCCAAAGATTAAGTATATATCTTCAGAACTGCATATTTACCTATTTGGAAAATGTTTCCATTTCCCTTATATAAATACTGATTCTTCAATTAGTGGCAAAATTAAAATAATTGAAGCGTTCTCAATAAACAAGTGGGGAAGTTTCTAACTGCCTTCCCAGAAACCTGGAAGAAATGCAACCACATGTAGAACCAGTAGAGGTAGCACCATTTTTACCAGTGATGAATGACTAGAGCTCTCTGCTCAAGAAGTGATGACCCCCAGGAACTGTCAGCATTACACCTTCTCTTTCAGGGATGGAGGGAAGTGAGGAGCTTGCAACCCAGACAAAATGTGAGACTCAGCTAATTGGTGTGGTTTTGATGATGCCACAATTCTGCCCCAAATCCTTGTAACTAGCAAGTTTGCCCTGAAGATTATTGAATTACTCCACTGATCATGCATTATTTAAAGGGAAATGCTATTATTATAGAAGCCATCTGTTTAACCATTGGAATTCTGTCTGTTGGCCAACTTTCAAGATACAGTAGTGCACTGTGACTACACAAGCGATAAGACAAGTCAAGGCCTACATTAAATGGCCAACTTTTATAAGTGCCTGTTCACTCTAATGACCAAGTGAGTGTATAGATACTTCATGATGCCAGTAGGACAGAACTCTGAGACTGTACCTAACTAAAAAAGGAATTATCCAAGTCACCTGTCTTTTGTTTTAGCATCAAGTGCAGGAGTGGGGAACCTTTTTTTCTGCCAAGGGCAGAAATATATGATGATATTTATAACATCATATGTGGGCCTTACAAAATTATCAACTTAAAAATGAGCCTACTATATTTGGTCAAGCATTAAATTTATTCACACCTAATGCCATGGCAGGGCTAGACCAAATGATTTTGAGGGCCTCATATGGCCCCCAGGCTAGACCTTCCCCACCCCTGAAGTAAAGAAAAATGTTTTGAGCATCTTGGGGAAGCTCAAATGATAAATGGAAAATAAATTTTCATCTTCTGAGTTAGAAAGTATTCTAACCTCTTTCCTGAAGACAACATAAATGGCTTCCAACCATATTGAACATTTGGCCCGGATGGGTTTTCTTCTGCATTTCTTTACTTGTTACAGATTCTTTGGAATAGAAAGAACCATAGCACCATGTACTGTGTTCAAAACAGGAATATTATCCTTGCATCTCTCACAGGTGTTCATACCACCTTTACTTAACTACTTCCAGCAATGGGAAATTCATTACTTTTAAAAGAAGTTTGTCCCATTTTTAAAACTTTTGAGTCCAAATTGTTAGAAAAATTTTCTCTTATATTAAGCCAATATTTGTTTCCCGTTCACCTACCAAGGTCTGATTCCACCCACTGGAGCAGAATTGCATAGTGCCTAATGGGAAGTTTTTAAAGGAAAGAATAAAACAATTCACTCTATCACATTTAAAAATTAGTCATAATGACCAGAGCTGCAATTTAGAGGTCATTAAAAATCCCTTTTTTTCCCCAAACTTGATACTGGAGCAAATTATGTTACTGCCTTTCTAGTAAGCCACACTGTATTGGGTTTCTAGTGTTAGCCCATAGCAATAAGTATCTTTATTTTGTTTCTGGAAAAAGAAGTAACGTGAGGCATTTGAAGATAAAGGGCAAAACTTGGACCCTCAACTGTGGCCTCTCAGTTGGCAAGAAATTATTTTTTATTAAATATCTTGATATAGAACCAGAAACCAAGCCTATAGGACACTTCAAAGGACTAATTAAACTTTAAAAGGCAATAGATAAATACTGTTATATTCATATATCGCCCAATGAAGTACAATCAGTCCATTGTAGACACTATGAATAGACAAAGAAAAACATCTTTCTAGGATTGTGGTAGGATAACTGATAGCTGCATTTATAGCCAAATCCAAGTCTTTATACCACTATTTCAACATTTTTAAAAATATGGACATAAGGTACTTTCTTTACAAAACATTTTTTAAAGAGTCCTAAATTTCTCTTTCCCTAAATTCTTGATCTGTGGACTAAAAGAGCACAGCTATTTTATAGACTGAGTCTTCTATACCAGCTGATCTTCCATGGCAAGTGGAAACCCTGCTGAGGCACCAGTGGGGGCCAGCTGCCTGGTTCCCCCAAACCCCTCAATCACAAGGAGCCCATAGGGTTTGCCTTCAGCTAAAGCAGCAAATCCCACCCAGAGAGACCACAAACTGAACCCTCACTGAGCTACTACCCTCTGCTGCCCTAAGAATGATAATACACCTGCCTTCTGTGAAGAAGCATCCCCAGGCTCCTGTGCTAAACACCGGGAAAACGATTTGTGTTCTCAGAGGATGCCACCAACAGTTGGCACTTTGGGCCACAAGGCTGCCAGACTAAGCTGGTGGTGGGCCATTACCCTGGGAGTTCAAAATATACATTGCGGATTCTGACTTTCAAAACTCCATCCTAAAGAACAGTGTCATTATTATGCAAATGTAGACTTTTTAAATGTAAAATATAGTGCTGTCTCCTGTGTCAGGAGTTAAGATCGGATATATGTCAGATTGATTAATTGGATTCTTCTAGATCAATGGTTTACACATTTTCCACCATGAAATCTGAATGTCAGTGGAGAAAACCAGCCCTCCCTCCCCACTCCCCCTCCTACCTCCCAAGGGAGTTAAGGGACAGGAGAGAAAGCTGAGACAGGGCCCCCCTGCCCTTGCCTGAGTCAGGGCACTCTTACTTCTGTCTGTTTTATATATTGGTGTATAAGCAAGATTCGTTTTAACAAGAGTTCTGCTACGACAAAAAGCTTACAAAGGATCCAGGTATATTTTAAGGTCCATGTAAGCTTGTTTTGCCCTTTCTTTTCATTCTAGAGCCAGGAAAAGTGTATTCAAATCAAAACAAAATGAAACCAGACCAAAACCTACTTGCCAAGTAAAGAGGTCTAATTGATTTGCAAATATCAAGAGAAATTTGACTCATCGTGTTCCCTATGGGCAATCCAGGTCACAGGAAAGGTGGACGTTTAGTTCATTCTGTCTTGGTCTAATAGTTATTCTATAAGAAGACAGAATTGATTGTTCTGGTCTCTCTGGGGTGATAGGAGAGAGAGCCCTATCACATCGGTATTGTCATCAGTTCCAAGTTCCAAGGTTTCTAGATGCAGTCAACAGTAACACTGCTTCTTCACAAACCATGTAAGTTCCTGGGAAGGGGTGCTCAGAGAAAGCAACCCAATATTTATTTAGAACCTACTATGTGTCTAGTGGTACTCTAAGTACTTTCCATATATTATCTCATGTAATCCTCAAACAACCCTCACAAGAAAGATATCATTAACCCCACTTTACAAATGAGTAAACTGAGGCTCAGGAAGCTTCAATGACTTGTCCAGAGTTGTGCAACAGGTCTTCCAGGCTATGTGAGGCACTTGGGCTTGGCAGAGAGAAGATCTGGGTTAAACTCTTGGTTCTACCATTTACTGAAGAATGACCTATAGCAAGTCCTTCCCAAGCCAGAGTTTCAGCCTCCACACCAGGAAAGTAGGAGTCTTTCCTAGATTTAAAATCTCACTGATGTTCATACAGTGGAAGCAACTAAGCAAAAGAGCAAATATTTGAGCCATCCTGCATATAAAAACGATGCAAATTTTCTAAAAAGGTAAAGGAAACTGAATGCATGGTCCTCTTTTATTAATAACCCTAGCAGCCTCTCAAGCCAATATATAAAGAAAGGGTAGGATTGGGCCATACAGTTTTTTGGCTGAAGGTTGCTGAGAACATCAGGAGAACTAACACAAAGTATGTTGTCAATGAGTGTAAACGAGTGTGATACAGGTTCCTGGAGACATACTAGAATCCAGAAGGATCTATAGGAACAGGAATTGTTGGAGAAGCTTCAAAGAGAGGTTCACATACAAATGTGTGGGATGACTAGGCATGGGGAGAGGAGAGTCTTCAGAGTCTAGGTGGAACCATGAATTTGGAATATTCCACTCTAAAGCCAGGCCACTCTGCATTTCATTTGTACAGACAAGCCCACAGGGTATGGCTCCAACAGTCGGAGGGCAATTCAGACAGGCATTGTGGACGAGTGCTGCTTCCGAAGCTGTGATCTGAGGAGACTGGAGATGTACTGCGCCCCGCTCAAGCCTGCCAAGTCAGCCCGCTCTGTCCGTGCCCAGCGCCACACTGACGTCCCCAAGGCTCAGAAGGTAAGCCAGCTGGAGTGGGATCCCACCATCCTCAAGAGATCTGTGTCTTATATGTGTGGGTGGGCCAAACAGTAATTTAGTCCCCAAGGTCTCCTGTCTTAGAGGTCAAAATAGCTCCATTCTCACGCTAGATGTCCATCCCTTTGGTCACTCCGCATTGCAAATTCTCTTTTGCACTGCTCTGGACAATCAGATAACCAGAAGGTGGTGAAGAATGGTAATAGCTACCTCATCAGGTCGCTCGGAGAATTAACTTACTGCACATACAGTGCTTTCCATGTGTCTGCACAACACAGCTGTTGGGCAAGTGTTAACATCTGTCATAATTGTAATTAAGAACAAAACCTGGAAACTTTCAGGTCCTGGTATTCTGCAAAGGTGTAAAAAAACACAACTCTAAAATGGGAACTATTTGAAATTCACATCCAGTGGCAAACATAGTTAAAGAAAAAGATTAAAAATAGAAATTTCTGTTTGGCTCAAAGAATACCTAGAAATTTCTAATGACCAAAATTTGCAGGTGTCTTTTTTAAAAGCTAGAATTTAAACAAACCTTAGAGGTACTATCTCTGCCATCAAGAGCATGTAAGTCATCTGATGCACGTTTGTCACCTGATAAACTTTTGTTGAATGAATGAATGAGTGAATGAGTAAACAAGTGAATATAAGTGATTAACATTTTAGTCATGAGGTAGAAAGAATGAGAACTAAAGAGAAGGTGAAGAATGAAGAAGAAAGAGAGGAAGGTTGAGTAAGGAAAGTGTTTCCATGGGGATTCTGTTGACAAAAGGAAAAATCAAACAAAACAAAAAAATACCACCTGTGGTTTTAATCTTTGGAGCCAAGACTAGCATAGTGCAGAATGCCCAAGACGAGAAACCAAGATGTTTACAATGACACCTTTGCTGCTTCCTGGTCGTAAACTGCAGCCGAGACTGGAGGAGGACCATGGGGGTTGAGCAAAGATGTGACTCCAGGGAGCTACCTTGAGGGGTGGAAAGAGACGGGGCACAACCTGGTGTCCAGAGAACATAGCAGCCAATGATCAGGGAGCAAGCACCACAGAAGTTACTTTTAGGTGAATGAGACTGGAAAGTTGTGCTGGGGATGGTGAAAGCAGGTTAATTCTCATTCTTCCCAGGTGACCCAGTTCCTCTCAATTTCTAGGTGGTTAGAGGGTGGGGGTCCAAGATGAGCCCCAAAGTTCTGGAATGTTGGGTCTGGTGACTGAGGTGTAGACCTGTCCAACACCAGTGCTGTCTCCCGCATCCCATGGTGCCCAGGCATTCTGGGCTAACTCTAAGGCTGTCTTCCGGGACACCAAGGGGACCACCTGTTCTCAATGCCATTATTTTTGTGATGTTTACAGTATCAGCCCCCAACTACCAACAAGAAAAAGAAGTCTCAGAGGAGAAGGAAAGGTGGGCCAAAGAAACACCCAGGAGGGAAACAGAAGGAGGGGACGGAAGCAAGTCAGCAGATGAAAGGAAAGAAGAAAGAGCAGAGGAGGGAGACTGGAGCTAGAAACTGAACACAGAAGCAAAAAAGAAAATGGAGGAGAAGAGCAGAGAGGGTCAAAGACGATGAGAGAGAAGCAGACAGCGATACAGAAAAGTGGGCAATGCTAGAGGAAATGAAGAACAGTAGCCTAGTGGAGCTAGCTAATACCCGTGATGGAAGGATTGAAGGAGTCTGTTATAGAATGTGGCTATTAAACATGGAGAAAATGGAAATGAAGCACGTAATCCCCAAGAAAGCCCAAAGAAAGGCAGTGGCAAGAATGAAAAAAGAACAAATATTATAAAAGAGTCAAATTTCCTGCTCCCAAAAAACAATTAAATAAAAAAATTAAGATTACAAAATCAAGGCTTTTGTATGCATTTAAAAATCGCTCATGTCAATATATGTCCAGAGTTAAATATTAGCCCCAAATTCTCCACAAGACTGAATTGTGTCATAGAAATTCCCAGATTTCCTTTCCTGCAATGAACTTGGAGGCTGCATGTCTTGGTTTGGGCCAAAGGGCATCCAATATTTGCCTAAAGGCCTGTGAGGCCTGTGAGGTAACCTATGAGAGAAGGTCATTGAAACTTTTTTTTTTCACTTTGGAATCAGACATAAAAGATGTATTAGTTTGATAGGGATGCCATAACAAATACCACAGACTAGGTAGCTTAAACAGCAGAAAGTTATTTTCATATACTTCTGGAGCCTAGAAGTCTAAGATCAAGATGTTGGCTGGGTTGGTTCCTTCTGAGAAATATTAGAGAAGAATCTGTTCCAGGACTTTCTCCATGGCTTGTAATTGCCCTTCTTCTCCCTGTGTCTTCACATCATCTTCCTTCTATGCATATCTTTGTGCCCAAATTTATCCCTCTTATAGGACAATGGTCATATTGGAATAGGACCCACCATAATGACCTCATTTTAATTTAATTACCTGTATGTTGACTCCCCATCTCCAAATACAGTCACATTTTGAGGTACTGGAGGTTGGGATTTCAACATGTAAATTTTGGGGTAAGTGACACAATCCAGCCCATAACAGGAGACTTCTGATATATGACTACTGCCTTCTGATTGCTAGAATACTCTCTGTTGCTCTGTTTCTCTCTCTTACTTTCTCTCCCAAACACACACATAGAATCCTAGATTTTTAGATCTGAAATCTTAGGCATTTCAGCTCCATGGAAATTCTAGGACCATGTTATGAGCTGCAAAAGGCCTCAGAAATCATTTGGTTCAATCACTTCATTTTAAAGATAAGAATACTGAGATCCAGAAATGGGTAAAGATGTGCTTGGGTTCTAAGATGCCCTCCTTCTGGCCAGCAGAGAATAGCACATAATCAATATGGACTAATAAGAATTCCAAAAGAAAAAGATGGGGTAGAAGTCTCCTACTAATTTCATATTTTCCCACCAGAAGGAAGGGAGTAAATGAGAGCAGGGTTGATGGATTTCCCTGAGGGAAAAGAAAAGCTCTGTAGAATCATAGAATGTAGGTCTTAGAGATCTTCTCCTCCACTTTCCTTGATTTAAACAGTATGGTTAGGGTCTTCACAGATAATAAAGCAAAAAGTCTCAATATCATCCAAATTGTTGATTATAAGAGTTGAGAGAAGTAAGTGTACAGCCAAGCAAATGATGACCCTTGGGAAAAGAAGATGACTAAACCAAGAACCAAGAAGCAAAGCATTTCATCAAGCACCCTACTTTGATGATGTCATGGTATAAAGAACCCTCCTTTCTGCCTGGTCCTTCCATGCCTTCTACTTCAGGGCCATTCTTCCTTCATGGTTCACTGAAAATCTAGGCTATATAATATATGAATATGCCCAAGGCTCAATCTAGGAGAAAACGATCCAATCAGAAGCATAGCAAAGCCACAGATGGAAGACAAGCCACTGCTGTGGTGGTTGCAAAGTGGATCCTGGGTTATTAGATCAATGAAAGCCAACTAGTACCTGAGCCCATATGGCCAGCCACTTTATCCAGGAGATGCCGAGTACTCTTGCTAAGACATCATGCTCTAGGACCAGCCTCAGACACAGGCCTACTGTGACTACCATCTGAGAGTAGCCAGCAAACACAGATGGCTCTTCAAGGGACCACAGTGAGCAGAAGAATTAACAGTTAATGTCCTATGAAAAGGTTCCTTAGAGAATTGTCTGTTCCTTCTTTCATTGATGAGTGAATAAATGTCAACTATAAATCAAGACTTTGGATAAAGTATAATTACACCCAATGATGAACTTCATCCAAAAAGAAGACAAGGACATCAAAAGAAAAAAAAAGCAATAGAACTTTCTAGCTAAAGAATGTTTAAATCCTAGATTATGGATTAAAACCCACTTCTTTTTGTAATGGGTTTTTATCAACTCTAAAGCAATTATCTTGAATGGCTAGATGTGACTTCAGAATAATATGAACTAAGTAAATAGGAAGAATCTACTATTGTCTTTCCATCTCCCCCTTTCTAGAATCAATACTAAGCACCTAGCGATACATGGTATATAATGTTGGGTAGATAGAAGGATGGATGGATGAATGAATGATGGGTGGATTGGATGGATGGATGGATGGATGGATGGATGAACAGAAAAATGGGTGTTCTAGGTAGATGAATAGAGGTAGAAAGGCAGCTATAAAAATACATAGCACTGCTGAGATGACATGATTCCTCTCATCCTTGCACAGAGGGTGAGGCAAGTTCAGAGTAAAGAAAGAAAGAACAAAGGAGTTGTGCTTACATAAGTGTTGCAGGTTTACAATTCTCTAGCCTCAACTGAAATCATTCAAGGACCTATTGCCAAAAGTACAATTGCCAAAGGTGGCATCTGCCACCTTTAAAATCAAATGTACTTTATAGCAAATGTTATGTAACTATTAGTCCCCTCAATACTTTCTTGAAGTAGGCAGAGTAGTAGCCATCATTTAAAATTCTATTTCAACTGCTTCTCTTAGGGAAAATTGATGATTATGTAAAACTTATGGGGTATGTAAAGATTCAGGATCCTAAAATAAAATTGCTGAAAAAAAATTTTTTATTGAGCACCTACAATGTGCAAACCTCTGTACTAGGCATGAAGGAGAATTATAAAGATTGTAGAAGCAGTAAAACATAGTGAGTTAAGAGTAGAGAATGTGGAATCAGACTGCCTAACTTCAAATGCTGATTAGCTTACTAGTGGTATGACCTTGGGCAAATGATGTAACTTATTTGTGCTTCAGTTTCCTTATCTGTCAGTCGGAATCTACTTGATTGAATTTATCTAGTTGAATTTATCTAATTGAATCTACAGTTGTGAGTATTTGAGATTGTGTGTGTGTGTGTGTGTGTGTGTGTGTGGATTTGAGATTGTGTGTGTGTGTGTACACAAATATATATGATAGTGAACAAGTTGGTGCCTGGTACGTAGTAAGCACTATTAAAGTTTTGTTAATATTATTTTACTTCATTCTAAAAAATAGAGCCATCTGAAAAAGAAATAGATCTCCTCAAGTGGAAGTAGGTCTCATATTCCCCAGACTTCAAGCTTAAGCTGCCAACACTCTTCAGTGACATGGCAGTTGGTTTCAAGCACATGGTGGGAAAAGAGAACTGAGTGACCTAAGACCCCTTCCAACCAAAGAACCCAGTTCTACAAATAATTACAACTTAAAAAGAATCCCGGCCATCCCATGTGAGAATCGCTTAACTTTTATTTTTAGGTCATAGAATGAACTTTCAGAAAACCACCATTTTTCTCAACCAGTTAAAATCAAATGCAATATGTGTTTTCATTTCATGGTGACTGAGGAAAATTTAATTGTAGCATGAACTCCAACTCTTACTAGTTTTAAGTCAAATTGCCAAAATAAATAGAAATGTGGGATATTTTCGGGCTCACACCACTTCCGGGACATTTCAGTTTCTAGGGTTGCCGATTCAGTGCCTTTCACAAGTATTTGATCTTCTCTCAAACATCTCTTGAAAACAAACAAAACCTCATACAGCTTCTAATGTGAGTGCTGTTAGGATGTAAGGGTGGAGAGGGAGGCAGAGAAATGAGCTCCAGAGAGCCTTTCCCCTTCTCTCCCCCAATCTCCTGACCACCTCCCTCCCACCAACCACCAACAGGAAACAGTGTTTTCCTAAGTAATACATTTTGCAGTTTCTCAAGTTCATTAGCATACATGGGGTAGATGAGATTTATTCTCTTTACTTGTCTATAAGAAAGAAATAAGACTTTTTGCAATATTTAATAGATAATAGGGAGCTGACTTCTTTTTTAATTTTCATTGAATTTATTGGGGTGACATTGGTTAATAAGATTATATGGGTTTCAGGGGTACAATTCTATAATACATCATCTGTATGTTGTGTTGTGTGTTCACCACCCAAGTCAATTTTCTTCCATCACCATTTATTTCTCCTTTACCCTCTTCTACCTCCCTTACCCCCCTTTCCCTCTGGTAATCCCCATGCTGTTGTCTGTGTCAATGGGAGTTGACTTCTAATCTAAGGGCAAAGTTAATAGTCTGAAGTTCAAGTGGAAGGCTTTGGTAGAAATTGTTTTTAGATGAAGCAGGATGTTCTTTATGAAGTTTTGAATATTCACTATAGAATTCCTCAGCTTGTATGCTCACCAGCTACTGATTCCTTTGAAAATCAGTGACAATATTTATTGACCTGTAAAATCAGAAATGCACATGGATTGTGCATACACATGGATTGTTCTTGCGCCATTTTCTGTCTTGGAAAAGCACTGGCTGGCAGCAGGTGTGTTTACTTTTATATGCTGAAGGCTCCCGTCAACCTCAAACAGATGCAAATCACTTCCACTTGTCAGAGTGCTATTTTGTTCATCCTCAGAGTTCAGGGGAGCCTTCCAAACTTCCAAAATGTCTCCCAATTCAGTGAGGAGGAAAATTTAGAA